AGTTTATCGATATTTTATGATGAAATATGTGTAGGATGAATGTATGAGTGAATGGGTGATCACCAATGAATAGACGATTGGCACATATTTCTATTTATTATGAATATACAGTGCACAAAGTCTATGAAATATGTGTTTTTCTTTTCTTTGAACATTCAGAACAATGTTTACTACTACTATTGACCTTCCAGTGTTTATTATTTTCTAGAAACAAAGCGTAGTTTTCAAGTTATTCTCAAATAGTACGGAAAACGTCGGACATTGAGGTACGTAGAAAACCTCGTTTCATTAAATAAGAATTAAAACTTACGATCGATCAAAGTGTAAAAATTGCTTAACCGTCCATTCATTGGAACATTCACCCTATATGAAGTGTTTTTATGCATTTTAAAATGGTTTTAGTTATTATGCCACGAAAATACATGCAATAACTGCGATTCGGACGATGAATAAAAAATTCTGAGTTATTTTTCCTTGAATTATATTGCTTATTGAGATATAAATAAATAAACAATTAAATAACAAATTTTTTTCTCTTTGGTGATTAATTCGCATTGAAGAAGCCTAAATTTAACATTTAAAGCGATTTACATCGATATTTATGCATTACATACCTGAATTTTACTAGTGTTGCACATCACCCTAACTTTTTTGGAAAATGCCAAAACAGACGTTTTTGAAAATGCGAAAAATTTTTAGGAAAAATTTAAAATTCTGAAAATCTTATAATGCAGAAATGTTTTATATTAATTCCTTTAAATTATTTAGTCGGGGAATATTTCAAAATTTGATTATTGGCCATGTTTTTCGAGCAACGAAAAAAAACGTCGCACATCACCCCACAACACCCTATATATACATAGAGCTAATATATACTATAAACTTACTTGTGTAGGCAAATATTTCCATTTTTTGTTTGTTTCTTATTGCATAAATAACAATACTTCACCATTTTTTAATTGAAAGGCTGACCTGACAATACTTATAACTGACTGTAATAACCTGCAATATATCACATGTGACACTTATCGCGCGACATTGACGCCTGCGCTTTACAACAGACTGAACATGATAAGGACAGAATTAGCACTGGCGGCACCGTAGTGTTTCGACCGCAAACCACGCCCCATTAGCCATATAGTAGTATTACATATATGGGTTTCAACGGCATATAGTTGCCCGCGATTGTAGCTGACACGTCCTGTACTCGCACGCTACAGTTCGTGCTCGCGCTCGCTTGGTAACGGGACGGGGCGCTATACTGTAGGCGCGCCGGACGTTAGGGCCTGCGCACAATAGAGGAACAGGAATTAGATATTAAGATTTCAACCTATCAGAAATTGATTACATCGGAATACACGATTTCTGATAGGTTAAAATCTTAATATCTAATTCTTGTTCCTCTATTGTGCGCAGGCCCATACACTTTCCAAATTTATAAATTACGCTGTGTGCATAAAATTGGTTACTCTGTAGAACAGACGTTTTTAACATGTATTGTTACGCATAACTATTAAAAGAAAAAACTTCTATCAATCATTTTTACACGTGCAGCAGTTTATAGTGTATAAACCTAAAAAGTACCAATAATATATTTGATAACAAATAAAATTGTTATGCCCGTCGCATGCCGTGCTATGGACACCCGTGGTGTCACGTTGTCAAGACGCCGTGCGGTTGTTGATAAAAGACGGCTGTCAGATATTGAGGAGAAGTCAGAACGCTCGGACGTGCTTCTCCACTGATATTATATTTTACGATACGGTATTCTGTACGGACGATTTCGTGGAGTTGACGTGGCTCAATAAACGACTTCCTGTTTTCCATACCTTAAAAACCCTTGAGTCTGTTCATTTTCGCGGCTCGGGCGCGCGCGTTGCTATACGAGTGCGATCTTGCATAACGGGCGCAACATTTTGGGGGCTCGTCCGGGATCTGAGTGATGATCCGGTCTCCAGTTGTCACAAGGAACAGACGGCAAGCAGAAGATATGGAAGTAACGTCGGAAATGACAGCTGATCGAGTTGCTTCGGAACGAACACCAGAGATTACGATTCCGCAGGCCGCTTCGCAGGAGACGACGCCGACAACATTGGCTCTCCAGGCGGTCCTCCGTGAGATGCAACAGTTGCGGGAGGAACAGCGGCGTGCGAGGGGCGAGTACATAGAGTCCTTGCGACAGCGTGACATCGAGATTCAGCAGCTTCGAGGGGAGCTTCGCGCTAACCAGATAAGTCTTTCCGATAATAGAGAGGTTATCGCGGACGTCTGTGATCGTGGTGATGTGCAGCTTTCGGTGGGTGATCGCGATGTCGCGCGGCTTGTGAGAAGCGGAGGTCTGTCGTGTCACCATACTCCGCGGTTTCCGTCGGGTGTAGAAAGTGCCGTGAGTGCTCGCGTTAATCCGAGCGCTTCATTTCACGAGGGAATAGGCGTCAAATTAAAGCCGGACACATATGACGGAAGTGGCTCCTTGCGCGAATTTCTGGCGCAGTTTAATTTGATCGCTCGTGCGAACCGTTGGTCCGAGGAAGTGAAGGCCATAGTTTTGGCGTCAAGCTTAAGAGGGAAAGCGCGCGCGGTTTTGGAAAATGTAGAAGATTTAGAGAATTTAGGATTCGTAGAGTTAAAATCAAAATTAGAGCTTCGTTTTGGGGACAGTCAGTCAACACAAAGTTATTATTCCCAATTTACCAACCGCAAACAGAAATTCGGTGAAAATTTGGCCTCTTTAGGTTCCGATATAGAAAGATTGTCGCAACTGGCTTATCCAGAGTGCACGCATTTGATTCGAGACAAAGTCGCATGTGCTCAATTTGTTTCCGCGCTGTCAGACGGTTTTATAAAAAGAACTCTTCAATTGGAGGGAGTAGCATCTTTGCGAGTAGCAGTCGAGAGGGCTAGGGCTGTTAAACTAATACAAGAAAGTAGTTTTGAACGAAAGAGAGAGCAAAACTTCGATATTTATAAAAAAAAAGAAAATAATTTTACTTTTGATGAAAAGAAAGAAACAAGACGTAAACATTTTAATAGTCAAAGTGGGAAAGAAGAAAAAACAGAAAATAAATTTAATAAATTCAATAAGAATAATTATCAAAAAAAAATTAGAAATGAAAGGACAAAGGAGTGTTGGGAATGTGGGAAAGAAGGCCACTTCCGCTCAGAATGTCCTGGCAGGACGGAAAACGAGAAATAGTCGAACTCGGCGGGGTGAGTTCGACTCGTGAGGGGAAAACCCCAAAAATTAGTAATAATAAATTTGAATGTCCTTCTGGGATGAATATTACTAATGAATATGTACGTTCTTTTAGCGGGAATGAGATTGGACGACATTTGAAAGATTTTTGTTTTGAGGGGGAGTTGGATAACAAACGGTGTATTTTTAAGATAGATACGGGCTCCGATGTATCAATTCTGAATGCTAATTTAGTTAATCAAAATAAGCTGAAAATTAAAATAAATAATTGTAATTTAAAATATCCTACGGGAGAAAAAGTTGTAATTGAACATAAAGTATTTGCAAAAGTTCGACTTGGGAATTATTTCGGAGAAATTCCTATGCTAGTTGCTAAAATTAGCGATGATTGCATTTTGGGAGTAGATTTTCTTAGGAGGTTTAATTTACAAGATATATTCGAAACCGTTTTCTTTAATACGGAGATTGAAACACAAAAAGATGTAGAATGTTCTTGTATTGCTGATTCTTATAACGTTCCGTCGAATTTGAAATTGCTCTTTGAGGAAAATTCTAGAAATTTAGATAAAAATCAAAAACAAATGTTCGCTGAATTACTTGATGAATTTCAAGATATATTTTCGGAAGAGATTATTGCCGGAAATTGTGAAATTGGAGAACATGTTATTAATGTAGACGATTCTTTTCCCATTAAACAGGCTCCACGACGTATTCCAATTCATTTGAAGGAGGAAGTTTATAAGATAATAGAGAATATGAAGGAAAAAGGGGTAATAGAGGAATCCTCGAGTTCTTGGATTTCGCCTGCTGTATTAGTAAAAAAAAGGACGGATCAATTAGGTTCTGTATTGACTACCGAAAATTAAACGCAGTTACTAAAAAGGATTCTTATCCTCTTCTAAGGATAGATGATATTCTGGATCAATTGTCAGGTAATTCTTGGTTTTCCACATTAGATATTAAAAGCGGTTATTAGCAAATAAAAATTCGGCCAGAAGAAAAAACAGCGTTTTTGGTAGGAAATGGCTTATGGCAATTCAAGGTAATGCCATTTGGTTTATGTAATGCCCCCGCGACATTTGAACGGGTAATGGAACGCATTTTTCAGGAACTTATTGCAAAGATTTGTTTAATTTATCTTGATGATGTTATTATCTTCAGTCAAAGTTTTGAAAAAATGATTGCAAATTTAAAAACTATGTTTTTGCGAATACGAGAAGTCAATTTGAAAATGAATCCTAAAAAATGTACTTTCTTTGAAAAAGAAGTAAAATATTTGGGGCATATTGTGTCTAGCACGGGCATTACCACGGATTCTGAAAAAACTTCGATTGTTAGGGACTGGCCAACTCCGCGCAATAAAAAACATTTGCGAAGTTTCTTAGGATTATGTTCCTATTATCGCAAGTTCGTGAAAGGATTTTCTTCAATAGCAAAACCACTTTACACACTTACAGAGAATCAAACAAAGTTTGTTTGGGAAAAAAAATATCAAGATTCTTTTGATAAATTAAAGGGGGTTCTAACCTCTTGTCCGATTCTATCTTTTCCGAGGGAAATAGGAGAGTACATCCTTGATACTGATGCGTCAGGTTGCGGAATTGGGGCGGTTTTGTCACAGAAGCAAGAGAATACTGAAAAGGTTATTGCTTATTTTAGTCGGGTCCTCAATAAGGCAGAGAGGAATTATTGCGTGACACGTCGTGAATTATTATCAATTGTTGAATCAATAAAATTCTTCCATCACTATTTATATGGAAAGAAATTTTTAGTTCGGACAGATCACGTTTCCCTTAAATGGTTAATGTCCTTCAACAATTTGGAGGGACAACTGGCTCGCTGGTTGGAAAGGCTTCAGGCGTATGATTTCGAAGTACTCTATCGAAAAGGACTTGCTCATGGAAATGCGGATGGGTTGTCTAGGCGTCCATGTGAGGACTTTGGTTGTCAGTATTGTGGAAAAGTTGAAGCAAAGGAAGCATTGAAACAAGAAAATTTGATCGCTCGAATATCGTTATCTGAGGAAAATTCTGAAATTTGGCGAAAGGAACAGCTAGAAGATCCTAATATTTCTATTTTTCTTTTAAGTAAGGAGACTGGGGAACGCCCAGCTTGGCGGGAGATCGCATCGCGAGATGTTCTGCAAAGGTCTACTGGACATATTGGGATTCCCTTGAAATCAGAGATGGTCTTCTTTATAAAAGGTGGGAGGCTCCGAGTTTAAAGAAAAGTATTTTGCAATTAGTTGTTCCCAGAGGACGAATTTCGCAAATATTGGAGGAGGTTCATGATTCTGCTTCTGGAGGCCATTTTGGGATTAATAAGACTCTGGAAAAAGCTCGAAAACGATTTTATTGGGCAACTTGTAAACAGAATGTGGAGGATTGGTGTAGGTCGTGCAAAATTTGTATCGCAAAAAAAGGCCCCTCTGGAAAAGAAAAATCTCCACTACAGGTATACAATGTCGGAACTCCTTTCGAGAGAGTACAGATGGACATCCTTGGTCCTCTTCCAGTAACATCGTTAGGAAACAGATATTTACTTGTAATAACAGATTGCTTCACTAAATGGGTGGAGGCTTTTCCATTAAAAAACATAAGAACCAAAACTATTTCAGAAATTTTTTTGAATCAGGTTATTTCTAGACATTTCTAGAAGTTCCTTTAGAAATTCATACAGTTCAGGGTAGGAACTTTGAGTCAAAGATGTTTCACGAATTGGTGAATTTGTTAGGGATAAGAAAAACTAGAACTACAGCTTTGCATCCACAATCGGACGGACAGGTGGAACGTCAGCATCAAACAATTTCAAATTATATAGCAAAATTTGTGGCCGGAAATCAAAAAGATTGGGATCGTTGGATCGCGATGTATTTGTTAGCTTATAGATCTTCAAAGCATGAAACGACAGGAGTTACACCAGCTGAGCTGTATTTTGCTCGAGACCTTAGATTGCTAGTAGACTTATTAAGAGGAAATCCTTCTAAATTAGAAGGGGAAGTTTTTTCATCCGAGGGTTATTTAAATGAAATTAAACAAAAATCGCAAGAAATCCATGAGGACGTTAGAAAACGTGTTGACATTAAATCGTCTCGAACTAAAACCTGGTACGACCAAAAGGCCAGACAGATTTATTTCAAGGAAGGACAAAAGGTGTGGCTGTATAATCCTCGAAAAATGATAGGGAAGACTCCTAAATTTCAAAGTAATTGGGAAGGCCCGTACTTTGTTATAAAGAAACTTAGTGACGTGGTATACTGTATTCGCAAGTCGAACAAAAATAAAAATAAAATTGTTCATACAGACAGGCTAGCGCCTTATTATGAAAGACGGGTAGGAACAAATAAATAAATCGGAGCCCAATATCACTTAGTCAATAAGAGTATTTTACGGTAGAAACTGCGCGTTATATCTTTATGGGTTACAGGATTTAAATGTAAAGGAACAGTGGAACGATCCGGAATTTTGGAAAGTGATGATCCGATATGAACGTTAAGGAAAAAGGAAGGTGCACAACTGGACGCCTTCGAATAAAATTTAAGAAGCCTCAGCACAATTATTGTTTTTTTTTCTAGAAGACTGCCTCGCCTGCGGTTTTTGATCTGCAGTTTTTCCGCAGGACGTTGGGCGAATGCCGAGGCAGGGACTTGGGAAAGTCCTTTTTAGGACGAAGGTGCTGCAGAAACGTCAAATTCCCTACCCTTGTCCGAAGTAAGAAAAAAGAAGTGCGCAAGGCTCAAGAGAAGAGGCAAGAGGAGCAAACTTCCTAAAGAAGACGAGGGGATGCCCAAAACGAGTTCTTCCGGAGATTTAGCTGGAGGAACTGAAGAGGGGTCCTGCTCGAAAGGAAGAAGGCAGCTTCAGGCTTGAAGTGATGAGTTCCGGAGAGATCGAAGCTCTAAGAAAAGTCGCTGCAGCAGCACG